TAATGTTAACATTAACGGCCACAATTAGCATATTGTTTAGCTGTGCATTTACTAAATGAGCACTGTGCTACGTCTGAACTGACCCCACCGTATTTTTTTGTATAATCAATTTCTATTATGCATTTAAACAGTCTTTTAAATTTTATTCTATGTTGATGGCTTGACTGTAAACAACATAACAAACAATGCAATAAATAGTTTTGAAGAAAAATCTGCTTTGTCATTGAACCTGAGAAAAACTTTGAAAATAACTATAATGACGCAGTCTCCATGCTACAATAATAATGAAAGAAGCAAAGTTTTTCATTGTGGGGACATATCTTTATAAGTACAATTTGACTGTATTATTTGTGTCCCCTTCAAAAATTGCTCATGAGAAATTGTATATTTATTGTCCCCCCCTACTGTTAAATGAAATTTACGCCCATGCCCCTCACATGTCCTCGGTGCTCAGCGTCCCGCTCCAGGACACGGCCAGCGTCATCTCGTCTCGTCCCACCTCGTCCGTCCGCCACTTAGCTGCAGCACCGCGTGGAAAACGGGGCAGAGGAAAAAAACGACATGCACGTAAACGCACAGGGGACGGTTATAGAAGGATCTGCGTGTTTCCTGTCAGAGTGAAGCGTGAGGGCATGACTGACCCGACAGAAAAACGGCCTTGTGCTTGCGGGCGATGACCAGCAGGTCGGAGCAAGGTGACAGGGACACCACACAGTCGTACAGCCAGGGGGCGCTCTGCTTCTCACTCTCCTCTTCGGGCTGAGGGAGGACTACTCTGTTAGCCCTAAACCGACTGTAACAGTGCTTAAAATAATCACCCAAGCATATCATCTTCTAATTCCATTGATCCACTTTTTTCCTTGTTCAATCTGGGTCGCTACCGCTGCAAGAGCAAGGAAAAAGTCCATCACAGAGCAGAGTGAGAAGTTCACCTTAACTGCATGCCTTTGCATGGTGACAGGAAGGCAGAGTTTCTGTGAGGAAAGCCATGAAGAGCAGGCTTTCACGGTTTGCATCTGCAGCTCTGAAGGTGTGCTGCATCAGAACACCCTGCTGAGGTACCACCCATCAAAATGCTAACTTCCAATCCCTGACAAAAAGAGTGACACTGACCTTGACATCTTCCTTGGTTTCATCCTTCTCCCAAGACCCCCAGTCTGCGTCTTCCCAGCTCAGTTCCTTCTCTGTGCAAGACAGTAAGAAATGGACTCAGATTTCTGTCTGTCAAGCGAATAGTATCACGGCCACCTGCTGAACACGGTCAATGGAGGAGAGAGATGTGCTTCCTGGGTCTGACACAAAGCTGGCATCCTCCACAGAGAACAGGCCAGACGACAGACAGCAATAAAATGGAACGCTCTGGAATTTGCAGGGATTGTAGAAACAACAAGTATTTAATAAGACAAAGCACGATACTGTCAGAGGATGCCAACAGTGGACAGGAGACATAATTAACAAAGCGGGGTCTGACCCCTGAGGAAGGAGTAGAGAATTTTTCCATCACTGAAAGCAGTGGATGTAAAATGCAGCAATGAGCAAAACTCCTAAGTACAATACTGACAAGCAGGGCTTACATCACCACATTATCAACTTTTTGCACTAGTACAAGCCTGTAACAACAGAAATAGCTTTAGTACATGAGTAAATGTATATAGAATGTCTTGTAAACAAATCCGTCAGTCATACGATTAATACATTAGACGGCGGCACACATCTGTGATGACGTGTGACTTGAAAAAACAGCAAGAAACATTCATCAGGGTTATTTTAAAGTGCGACCACTTTGCGTACGGATGTCTATATTGCAGGTTTCACCCTAACTCTTTCTCCTGTATTGCTGTACGTTCGGTTTTACGGAGCTGGGAATTCCACCTGTGGACAAGCGCCTCGGCTCTTTGCTGCATCAGCCCGCTCCTTCACACAACCGCCTTCCAGCATCTGCATCCGGCTGCAGCTCGGACCCCCCATTCCCACTGAATCTGCCATTTCGAAACATGCAGAAAACATACGTGTGTCTCTCAGTGACGCATTTCTAGACGTGTCTCCCGCCTGATGACTCATCCAGCAGAGGGCAAAGGGACACCCCTCCCCATCAATATTACCTGTCCCCATCTTTTCCCCATTACTGGAAAGCAGAGCTCCATCAGGTGGGCCAGCAAACCCCTCTCCCTAGTGGCTGACTCATGCAGACCCGATCCCGCTTGGTGTCTACAAGTGATCTTACACTCAATACTTCTAACGAGAGCTAGGGGAGGGGGCGCATTCCCATACTGCACCATTATTCAAGACCATAAACAAAAAGAGGCCACCAACACGGGACAGGGCGTCGTGCACACCCCTCCGACCGAAGGGGAGACACGGGCACAGCAGGAGGATGAAAAACCTGGTAGTACTCAAAGCCAGGCCCAAACGTACAGGCACAGCACCCCTCAGCTCCAGAAAGTCCCTGGGGCTGGAGACAGGACCCAAAAAGCTGCGGTTCTTACCTGTTTGGCTGAAGTCGGTGCCTAATGTGCTCGTTTGCTGGCCCGAGAACAAGAACTCCCGGACCGTCTTGAGCTCTTGGACCCGACAAAACTCGATCAGACAGCACGACATAGCGCTGTCAGACTTAGCCGACGGAGAGGAGCTGGCAGCTAGCCGGGGACCTAGCCTGCGGTGACAGGACGCTAGTGTGCTGGCTGGCTGCTCGGAAGAGCCCAAAGTCCTCCCTGTCGACGAAATCCACGAATATGAATGCGTTTAGCTCTACAAGATGTAAGGCTGCCACTGTCAACTGCTCTTCGCCACCCCTCCCTATAACTCCCTCTTTTCCCTTCTCACAGCGGGATCTGCGACTTCGTCACCTCTCGGGACGTTCGCTATGGTGCCGACGCCACGTTACAGCGCCACCTAGCGTGCGGAGGACCAACAAGGTACAGCATCATCGGGCGCCTTATGGGATACAGGACAGAATGCATTAATGTTCAGTGAGCGGCACGTCACATTTTCAACTGTTTACTGAAATTGCTGCCTGGATCCAGTGTCGCATAGACCTAACTGTACTACAAATGTGGTGAAAGAATTATGAATATCCTATAAGAAACAAATTCTGTGACTTTATAATTACCATCTGTCAAAGAAATGTAGTGCAAATGTCTTAACAGAGATGGTGACAGCTCCTAGTGTTTCGCTGTAGGTGTTGTACATAAACGGTCCTTCTGACTTTAAATAGATTGCTTAGTTTTGCTATACATTTGATTTGGTTTTAAATCCGTAGTATTGGATTATTGGTTGTATATTAGCTCGTATGAGTGAATTAGTCAACAGAGGGCGCTATTTGCATTTAAACTACATACGCTCACTTACTGTACTAGTAAGTGCAGTTTGTTTGCTATTGTGAGGTACGATATTTTTTCCCATTTTGCAATTGTGGATTTCCATTTGCTGGTTTAGACAGTTTTATACTCCAACATAACGGATTGAGAAAATGCATCTTAGTAACGAAATTAGAGGTCATTTGACATTCTAAAATCTCAAGCTACTTGGTTGAATCACTTAATTGTTTTTATTATACGATTAGGCATTAGGTATCATAATAATACTTCCAGGATGGCTTTTAACGGTCTTTAGTACACTTTTCCTGGAGACACTCAGATATTTAAATAAACTAATAATGTATTTTTCAAGCGTTCCTTTGAATTCGGCAATTCGTTAAGAATACTTTCATTTGAATGTAAACTTACTGGAATAAGCCAAGACCCACTCTAACCCTCTACTGATTAACGCTTAGAAAATGTAAGAACGTATTTATAACATATTGCGAAAAATACTATGACATTATTTACATGATCGTTCCTTATATAATTGAAACTACAATTTTATGAGTGATTCTGTCCTGGAGTTAATGTAAATATTACACTGTTAGTACCCTGGTACAAATACAGGTGTGATGGAGCTATGTTATATCATAGGATGTTCAGAGAGCGAAGAAGGCCTCCATCATCTTCCTGGTCTTCCGGGAGGAGTAGGAGCCGGCGAGTATGGCCACATGAGCGCTCTGGTCTGGCTCCCAGTGTGCACCCTCCCTGTGAGGCCCATCTGAATGCCATGGAACGACTGAACACCCAACAGGAGACCCAACGTCCTCCAGTGCCGAACACCACGATGGACAGACCTCATGTGCGGATGACAGGATAATTATGAGCTTTACGTTCCTTTCATGAGTGAATCTCCCAGTCTTCAAATCTCGCCTTACGGCTTTCTCAGTCTCGCAGGCTTTCTTGCTCCCTCCACTCTGCTCTCCTCACTTTGATCCATCTGTTAATTTCCTGATTTTCTTGACTCAACCATCTCCTACTTGATGTATTCCGCATTTCTGCATCGCTAATCACTGCGCTTGTCATAAGTATTTGTTTTCGTTTATTACTTCCTTATTGTTTTGTTATTAAATGGTGTTATTTGGGGGTTTTGAGATGCGCTGCATTAATCTCATGTTTTATTAAATGTTAGTCATTGCGGTGTCCTATAGTATCTGCCACCTTCTCCCTGTTGTTTTTTTTTTTAGCACCATCCTCACTGGCTGAGTTGGCGCACCGGGATAACATGCCTGCTGCTCCTGGCATTGGGGCTGCTTCTAGCGGGGCTGCTGCTTCCCGAGTTAGCCATTGCACTGCCCTGCGTCCTGCTCTCCATCGCCTCCTGGTGGCTGGACGACCCGCTGCGGGCAGCCGTCAGGAGCGCGGCACGGCACCTTCGCGGGGGATCCCAGCGGCCGACTTCCCGTCAGCGCACTTGCAGAGACGAGTAGCACGCAGTTGCGAGATCGAATGGAGCGTTTTAAAAACAGGAAATAAAGGCTTTTCCCATCCGTAAATAGCAGACCCTTGAAAATAACATGCCTGTTTGAAAATGTCCTTGAATGGAGCTACGTTAGGAACAATCATGAAGCTACCTCTGTGCGGAGTGCCAGGGTCATTCGTGTGTACCGGGATGCGAGTTTAAACTTGCAGAGCCATAAAAAGTCTGCCGAGTCAGCGGCTGGCCCAAATGGGCCTGCAGGTGCTGTCTGGGCCGACTCCCCCAGTCACGGAAGGCCTCTGCCTTCTTCCTTCAGCATTCAGGCTGTTTTGTCAGCACTCGTTAGCCACCCTGATGGAGCAGAATGATGTCTTTGGTCTTGGCAAATGCTTGCAGCCTCGGCCATGGTACACCACGTGTCTTTATGGACAAAGGTGCATTACTGCATGGGTACAAAACATTTAAAGTGATGTCTACGGTTGCAACACATTTTATTCCCATTTGCAACACATTTTATTCCCATTTGTATTGATTGCATTTTCTATGCACTGTGGATAACGATGACGATCGACAAGAAACCACATTAATTGCAGTTCGTTCCATTTATTGAATTTCAAAGAGTCTGAAACTAACTTATACAAATCTCTAAACTGCTTTTAGTAACACTTTTGTTTCCCAGTATGAGTAAATAAATTATAAAGAAAACCAAAACAGTCAAACGACAGAAATTAGAAAGATTACAAAAGGAGAGGGTGGTATAACAAGGCAACGTTCTTAATTGACTCGTGGCGTGTGCAAAGGTGTGATTTCCTACAGTTCACAGTGGGAATATTAAATCGGAGAGCAGGTTACTTTTCAGATTAAGGCAGCCATACTTTTAAGAGCGTCTGGTTACGGTGAAACGAATATGTGGCTGGACCGGATTCAGCTAGGAGGAGCTACAGATGTGGACTGCAGCGAGAATGGGCAAGGAAGTGTCACTAAACCTTCAAGGTCCTGCAAGATGTCAGCCTGACCCGTGTCCTGCTTTGCCGCCAAACTCGCTGCCTCGTCGCTGCGGACGGAGGCGTGCAGGGCCCACGGTGTTGTCAACCATTAATAAGAATCCACTTACAGCAGCGCTATCAGGATCCAAAGTTCACAGGAGTGCTGACATCACGCAGACGACCCGCGGGTGTGTCACTCTCACGGCTTTAGTCCACAGCGACTGAAGCTAATGGGACGGCTCTCCTTCGGGGCGGCTGAGCCTGAATCAGCAATGGGAATGGCCTACATGCCCCGCCTGTACATTCGGGCCGTTTGCGGTTCTGTAACCGCGAGGCGTTCCTGCGTGTTCTCTCGCGCACCGTAACGTCACCTCACCGGCGCGAAGGGAGCGCCGGCCCTTCTGACTCGCAACGTCGCTCTGCCGAAATACGGCCTTCTGCTGTGCCTCTGCGGCACAAAAATGTGGGCGGAGGTCAAGGTGGAGGATGGTGTGCGAACACCTCTAACCTCTAGTGCAGCTGGGTGGGTCTGAGCAGCCTGATCTGGCTCGACAGGTCCCATCGCGAGCGAGCGCCTCAATCCGCTGGCAGGCCTTTCGGTCGAACCCACAACTGCCCTGCGTGAGTCACAGTCTTGGCAGACTGCCAGAAATGCACTCATACTGATTCCACCACCCTGGGACCGCCCTGCTCAGCGTCAGGACTCCCCCCGCCCGGCCCGCTGACCGGGCTGGAGGACGTCAAAATAAGTCGGGGTTTTAATGTCACTTCGACATCAATCTTTTGTTGCTAATTGTTCTTGTTTGAAAGATGGGATGCTTTTCACGCTCTGATGTCTGCCGATTGCAGATTTCAGCTGGTTTTAAATGGCATCACATGAGCTGAGCAACATCTCATGGCAGTAGCAGAAAACAACAACAACAAACAATATTAATATTAAAAATACCATCCGACGAGCTGAATGAGACGCTAACTGCTCATGGCAAAATTTATGTACATGTATATAAGAAAGTGGGTGTCTTGGGGGGGGGTGCTGGACTCCCCCTGCAGGCAGAGGGAAGAATTACTGGGGTGTTGCAAGGGTGGGTCTTGGGGGGCATCGGAGAAGAGGCGGCAGCTGGGGCTGATGCCAGCCGCTCACCTTTTCTTGGGAGCTTGGGTAGTGCGGGGTGGGGTGACAGGGCGCCCTGAATTCACCCCCCCGTACTGGTACTTGGCCTTCTTCTCTGATGGCTTCAAGATCTAAGGCAGAGAGGAAGACACAGTAAACATGTGTATGCACACGCAGACAAACCTGCATTTAATGTGGGGGGGTGAAGCTCCCCACCTGGAAGGAGCACATGAGGGACTCGTCTACGCTCATCATGCCGCCGGCATTGTCGAACTCGCCGCAGTAGTTGGGGGCGGAGAAGAGAGTCACCAGCTGCCGCTTGGCGAAGAATTCATAACCGTCCTCCACCACCTGCCAGAGGGGGGGGTGGGGGGGAAACCAAGCACGGTGCAACTGCATCAGCTACATTTACATCACTGCTCGCGAAGGGCGCCCACTGGAGGACATTTTGTGTAGCCCCACACGTCCTGACCCGAGCCCAGCGTGGAATCTAGCGGTCAGGTTACTCGCGTCCCCGACAGACATGCCCCACTCCCAGAACATGCCATGTTACCTGGTGCGCCCGGCAGATGAGGTCTAGGTCGTGTCGGTTCAGGAACTTGCTGACCACGTCGGCCCCGAAGGTGAAGGAGACGCCACGGTCGTTCTCGCCCCAGCCCTGCACGTCCTTGTCGGGGTCCGACCACAGCAGGTCACAGAGCAGCCCTGAAAGAGAGCGAAGATGGGCGTGGTGACACTGCGTGACCCTCCCCA